CAGAAGGAATCTAAAAGGAATCCACTCATGTCGCGGCTTTATTAACTAAACCTCTTTAACAGCGTGATAAACTTTCCACGAAACGTTCTTTGTGCCTTTAATGGGACTTCTGAAATAGTTTTTGTTAAATGAAATGCAGTTCTTCAATCGTTCATCAACTTTCAATCGGGGAACGGTCCTCCTCCTCTCACTATTTCGGTGTTGAGTAAATCACTTTGAAACGGTGATCACGCCCATTTGTGAACTGTAACATTTTCAGTGGCCGTGGTCAGTATCCGTATTTCATTTTGCGGAAATTCAATATCAAAGCCAGCCGCCCACTAAGCTGCAAAGTTCACCCAGATGAATGGCGGCCAGTTCTCGGGGCACAGCGTGCAATGTCCTCATCCTGAGTGGGTCCTGGCTGGGTGCTCCTTTCCCATCCTTTATCCACCTCGTATGCGGAGCACGCGCTGATAACGTAAAGCGGAGCGGTCCAAAAACCCGGAATGGAGCCCAGGACGGAACCCCGGAGCACAGCATGGACATAATTAATTTGAATCCTTTTTTCCTGCTGCTTTTTGCGGTTCTGTCTCTGTTTTGCTTTGCATTTTTTCGCCTTACTTTTGCGTGCAACCAAAAATTAATCAAGTGCTAGTTACGCGAAGCGCGCAGTTTTTAATTAAAGTAGCATCAAAGCGAACTTTTCCGCAGTAAATACCCGTATAGGAGAATATTTTTTATGGATTTTCGCCGTTCGGAGAGTGCTGTTAAAGTTTAAAGCCTGCCGACACTTGCTGAGGTGTTTGCCAAAGCGCCGAGGGCGCAAGCGACTGCAAAATCATAATACAAACCAATTTCATGCTGAATTAAACAGGAGGCGGGGATCCCGGCAAACAATAGTTGAAGTATCCTGTCAACAGGCGGCGGCTAGCAATTGCAAAGGCAGAAACAACAACAGTCAGAGCCACAGCATTCGCACAAAAGAAGCACGTGCATTTTGCGCTCTTCACAAGGGGAACGCCACACACTTGGCCTTGGGCGAAATGAGCAGCCATCGCAGCAGACCCTCGTTGCTGGTTTTATTTTCCAGGGTATCAGAGGTAACAGGGACTAGGCTGTAATATTTATAAAGTATTGTGATAAAGTACTTTTAACACATAAAAGGATATTCATTTTATACATTTATACCTTTGAAAATGGGATACACTTTATATTCAGATTACTTAAGTTTCTGTTAAGAGGTACTACAGTTTTTCAAAACAGATTTCTTCAGTTAAGAAAACTTTAGCGGTGCTGGGATTATCACACGTAGAACTGTCCAAGCCAGTTGGGATGGGGGCTCCCTTTCTTATTCGCAATCCTGCTCCTCCTCCGCTGAGGATTGCACCTCAGGCACACCTCCAGACCTCCGGAGAGCTGGCCTTTTTCGATCCGTTCAGATGCGGATAATGCGGCTGGGCGACGTGTCTCGCATAATTTGCAGCAAAGTGCACAACAATGGCAGAGCCCTCTGTCAGAGGCATTAGCATGGTAGACCCACGGGTGGGGTATTCTCTTCCGAGTTGGTGGGAGTGTGACGCGTGAAATGTTAGAAATTAAAAAACACATGACAAGCAGTGCTGGCACTTTGATTTGTCTGCCAGCCGCAGACAATGTTTCCCCCTCCCACTTTAAACAATAACTCCGCCGGAGGAACAAGTGGATTCCGGAGTGGTGGGTCGACAATTATTATGGAATGGGGATTGTCTGCAGGCCAAGCCAATAAATTAGGAAACACCTGTTTTCAGCCGGCCAAAGGCAAACGTGGCGACAGATGTCTGCGAGGGGAATCGAAACTGTTTTCCTGGCCCTAATGAAAATATTATTCCGACTACATAATTTGTGGGGCCCCCGAACACGCACACCCCGCACCGCCCTTAACCCCACAGCGGGCCTTGGGGGTTTGCGTGTAATTTATGTTACTTTTTTCTGCCGCTACTTGGCCGCATTTCGCGGTTTTTTATTGCTACGTGCGGAGAGAGGCAGAGAAAAAGATACAGTACAGTGCACTGAAAACCCCTTTCTACATTTCAGTACTTCCTATACAATTACTTAATCAATAATTGGGATATATAACATTTCCAGCAAATGCTTTCAGCTCATTTATTCAAACTCATTACTGAAATATTTATTTAGATTATTAAACTTAGTTAGTTAATGATTTCTCTCTGTGCACAGAGAAGGACAGGATGATGGGATGAGTGAAGGGGACGGGGAACCAGGAGCAGACCACGCCATAATGTCGTCATGACAGACGCGGCCATAAAAGATAATTATGATTCCGGTAATAGGTTTTATTTTTCGCATGTACCTCTTTTGTTCATGGGCACAGCTCCCAGTTCAAAGTACCCCTTCGCCGCTTTCCCCCCGGTGGAAAAACCATTGCCAAAAGCCTCCGCTGTTGTTGTTTTAGTTGTGGCAGTGGCTGGGTGTTTCGGTGGTCCTGGCACAAAGGTCGACCTCGGTGGCTCCCCGTCTACGGAGGACTTTGCTGTGTCTACATTTACTTTTCGGGTGACCAACGTGGCATAGAAATTATGCGCATTATACGCGTCGCGCTCCAGCGCCTCGCTAAAAAATTATATCCGCGGAATTATGCGAGCCACGGTGAAAAACGAGAGGAAAGTGGAAGAAGGTTTCATTGGATAAGGATCGTTTTTACATACTCTTTTGCTGTTAAACAACCTGAATAAAAGACCATAAAGAACACCATAATTGGATGCCATATAAATCAACTTATAGGCTAAAACGAATTCCGACACTAAAATACTTAGTTTTCCAAGCTTACTATCGAGATCCCGACCTAATCCCATTCTGAGTTACACTTTCAATTAGCAGCCCATCAAGGGGTAGCGTTTTCCGGGGAGGGGAACACAGTGAGCAGGAAATGAATGCCGTGTTTGCCATTCTAATGAACTTGTCACGCTTATGAAGATTAATGCCACCTTGGCGCAGATCTCGTTCGGCGGATTCGCAGTTTGAAGTTTCGCAGCTTGAAGTTGCCAGCGAGCAGTTTTCAGTTTTCAGTCGCTCCTAACAAAGAGTAATTGTCCCAACATGATAATTGCTTTAATGACGAATGCAAAGCGAGGCGGGGCTTCCGAATTTGATTAATGTGCCACCCGGCAATTGACCCAGTTTTCAATTAGAAGCCGGAGTGACAGGTCTCAAGTTGGCTTGGCCAAGGCGGCCCAAACCCCCGGGATTTTGAACCACGCCGAGAGTTCAAACAAGAAGAGCCGAGGGAAATAGGGAAATGACAGTCCTGTTGATGTCTAATGGAAAACGTGTGCGGGCATAAAAATGGCCGCTAAGAAAATGCATAAAAATGTGTGCGAGTGTGTGTGCGAAAGTGTGTGCGAGAGTGTGCGCTCCTCCCGCCGAAGAAGGACATGCAAGGACAAACGGAAGTCACACACGCCCGCTTATCGGGCCAAGTAACTTTTCCCCAGCAAAATGCCAAAGTCCATAAAATATTTTTACACACCAGATCTGGAGATACTCCCTTGGATTTTGCGAACGGGGTCGGGGCATACCTACACGTAACCGGAGGGCCGGCAGGATATCTGAGGTCCTGGGACTAAGGACTGTGGCCAAATTGTTTACACAAGTCATAAGCATTTTTTAGCGAGCCATCGCTGTCTGTTTGCCAGTGTATAAAAGCCCGGCTGGCATTTGCATAAACCTTTCCTCTCTGTTTGCCCAGCCCATTATCCTTCGCCGCCACTCCCCGAAAAGTTTCGACAACTGCAATAATCATAACTGCAACCGCTCGACATTGATTTCGAATTGGAGGAGATTGGCGGGCGGCATCCTCGGCATCCTCGACGGTTGGGCGCCATTAATGGGGCATTGTTTCACAAGTCGTTTCGGATCCAAGTATCCAAGCCGGAGTTTCCGCTTGATTTGAGCTAGTGGCCGCCCATAAAGCATCGCCTAACTTCTCAAAGTTTTAGCGCTTTGAGTTTTATGCCCGCGATTGGATTCAGTGGGTCACCAACCGAAATTGATATGCCTTAAAGGTGCCTTCCCCGAAAATGCATTAGCCTTTGTGTGTTTAGGTGTTCGAAGTGCTTCTGAGTTCAGTGAGGGATGGTTTCAGGGGAGGCGGCTCTGATTTTCCAAGAACTGACTGAAGTAAATTGGTTTTGTGGTCCTGGCGTTTTAGGTTAAACGATATTTTGTACCGTGACATGTTTGCCCGTCGCTGTAGTCGCTGATTTTGATCCGTGCGCCGATGATTGATGACACTTAATTGATGAACATCCTCCTGCCTCCACTGTTTCTGGAGTCGGGTGAACTCTCGGCGGCGCAACAATGCCCGAGCAAATATTTGCCATGTCTGGCTTAAAGTGGCCCAAAGCAGCTTAAAGGCCGCCCAGCTGTTGACAGTGGACAGCGGACAGCGCACCCGTAAAGCCGACCCGGAACCCGAAACCCGGAACCGTCTACGGTCACGGACATAAACTTGGCCTGGCCGGCAGGACGCTTTCCAGGTCACAGGTGCTTTTGTTGTCCGCATTAGATGTGCCTCCGCTGCCACACACTCCGCCCTGCACGCACACAAATCTCCGGGCTCCGTGCATTCGGTCTTTTTGTTCGGCCGCCCTGTCCATTTGGCTGTAAAATTTATTTCATTTGTCCAACAACCCGACCCCGCAAAAGGCATGACGCTGACAGTTTTATGGCAAAGTTAAGCCGATATCAACGGCAGGACATATGACCCGGCCCCATCCGAATCCCGCTTTGCCGCTCCATAAAAGTGTAAAATTTAAAGCCTTTTCCGCCATACCTTGGCACACACAACAAGTGGGCCCCAAACAAAGCGGTATTTAGGTTTCCGCAGAAATCCTTTCAATGGATTCACTCATGGCTGAAGCTGATAGCAATTGGCTTCCATGGCGAGCATTAACCAGCGAGAACCGCATGGTCGAGTGATCCGACTAAGCGGAATTCGATTGCTATACACATTACGACTCTTTAAGATGCAATAATCAAAAATAATACATTAATTCCAAAGTAGTACAGTACTTTACATGAATTAAAAAATAAATAATCGAGTACAATACGGTTACATGCTGAGAACGAAATTTGGAAGACACTGATTCCGATTCTTGAGATCTCCAGTCCACGTACACAATTTAGATGGAACTCAAATATAAGATGCAATTCCCCTTTAAAACGGCGTATGATAATCAATTCAAATGTAAATCGGCTCGTTTGCGCAGAGATCCCGAAACCAGTGGTAGTTGTTCAGCTTGGCGTGGATTTCGCGTCCCAGGACGAAGAGCGGAATGGGCATGTAGGAGCCCCGCCCCAGACCTGTGTTCAGGTCGGAGGTCAGCTTGACGTCGATCATGATGGAGGCGTGGAGCAGGTAGAGCATTCCGCACGCCAGCGAAGCGATGGACTGGCCTTGCAAGTACTGGGAGTACGGGTGCACCGGTTGGTCCTGGACAAAGTCGCCTTTTGTGATTTGGACATTCGAGTTCATCAAAAACATGTGGAAGAACCGCTCCGCATCCCACATCGAGGTCAAGGATATCAGGATGAAGACGATGGCCGCCGTCGACGCCTTCCAGATCTCCATGTTCACGGTCACCCGGTGCCCCGTGCAGATGTTGACGCTCTGGAAGAGGGTCAGCACCATGAACACGTAGAAGACGACCAGGTAGAAGTAGTGGATCGCCTGCCCATCCCAGCTTAACATGTTCATTTGGGTGACCTGGAAGCCCTTGATGTGGTAGCCCATGCAGAACATGTTGACCACCGCCTCCAGGGTGTAGAACACGAAGAGCACGGGCCGCAGGGCCTCAGGCTGAAAGGTCCCCACCACACTGTCTACCCCCGTCAAGGCATCGTGCTTGTAGACCCACGAATAAAGAGATCTTGTGGACGGGGTAGACATTTCAAAGTGAACAAATCAAACAGATAACTAACTGTCAGTATTCCCTGTGATACTTTGATGCTGATTTTTTAAACGAGAAGTAAAGATCAACGGTATAAGATTGCCTGGCCTTTCAAAACACAACACTATTTCGGAAAGCTGGAAACCCCAGCTATCGATCAAGGTATTTTTTCGATTGCGAATTGGTTTACGAGTTCAACAAGGTATGCTGTTCCACACTAAAAACACTGACTATAAAGGAACAAAACAAAGTAATTTTTCTTTTTGCAAAAATACATAATACGGCAATAAATCAACATCGAATAGTTAGCTTGCAATGTAGATAGCTATATCAATAATGTTGTGTATGGTCTACATAAAAAATATCTCTAGCAGATAACAGAAACTGGGTGAAATAACCTTCAGTAAAGCTTTCCAACCATCAGCACTTTTATGTTTAGTGGGAGTTCCCCCGTTGACCATCACAGACATTGTAGACAGCCGGTGGCCAGTGCTCTCAGCACGTTTTTCGGTGACGCACCTTTGGCTCCAATTCGAAAGCACGTAGCGCCAACGCGATACTTTTGTTCCGGTGCTCTCGGGTTAATTAAATCGCTGCGTGCCGCTATCAATACCCCCGCTTATCAGCTGTCGACAGAATCGCTATTAACGGCATTCGGTGAATATTTATCTCGGCCCGATGTTAACGTGCCAACTTCAACAGTTTTTGGCTCCGACAGTTGGCTCTGGCACGCAGACCCCAGAAGAACCCCAACCAGAAAGGTACCCACGATGCGCTCCCCACTGATCCTGCTCACCTGCCAGGTGCTTCTCATCCTTCGGGTGAAAGCAGAGGAAAGCCACTGCACCTCGGTGGCTGGAATGGTGAAACTGCTCGATCTGGAGGCGCAGCTGATCGACAACCTGGATGACTACGCCCGAGAGCTGGAGAAAAAGCTGGAGATTGTAAAAAGGTTAACATACTTCAATGTTATTTATGAATTATATCAACTGGTTACCTCGTGCTATGCAAAATGATATGACAATTTGGAAGGCCTTGAATTGACTATTGCTCGTCTCCTGCAGAAGTGTAACTAGTATGCGTTTGGAGAACGACAGAGCCCGCGGCTCCACGGAGGAGTACCTGTCCAACCCCCTCAACTCGTTTTCCCTCATCCGCCGCATGAACCGCGACTGGATGATCTGGCAGCTCTTCATGGACGACCCCGTGGGTATCACGCAGATGGAGAAAATCCAGGAGCTGAGGGAGCACATGCCCACCAACACGGATGTCGAGGAGGCTGTCACCGCCTTGGACCGCATTCAGAGTACCTACGGGCTCAAAGTGGCCGAGATTGCCCACGGACTCCTCAATGGCAAGCAATACAAGTAAATACTATTATAATTTAAAATTGTATAAAGGGGAAAACTAACCCAAAACCCTTGAAAGTGTGAGCTTAACAGCGTTGGACACCTATGCTCTGGGGCAGATTCTCTTCGACCAGGGAAACTATGCGGCTGCAGCTGCATGGCTCTACCAGTCGCTCGTCTTGAATGAGGTCTTCACCGTAGCTGCTCCCCTGGAGATCTCCAAAAGCGAAGTGCAAATGGTTTATGCCGAATCCCTGCTTAAGTTGAGTGAGTTGTAATGGATATAATCTGCGAGTTCCATGCTAATAGAATCACAACAGACCAGAACGCCGATGCCCTGAAAGTTGTCAACATTGCACTGACTGATAAGCCGCATGATATTAAACTGTTGCTGAAGAAGTCGGAAATCGAAACGATGATAAGAACGGGCTCCAACAACGCACCCCAGTTAAAGGTGGGTGATAAGCTCGCCACGTAGATAGGGCTCCCTTCAACCGACACCCACATTTTTGCAGGTGCAGAACGCCGTGGGCGTAACTGCCTACCAGATGGGCTGCCGCGGGCAGTTCCCGCCGTCCGTCGATGGCAGGCTGCACTGTCTGTACAACAGAACCACCACCCCGTTCCTGACCCTCGCTCCCCTCAAGATGGAGCTGGTGGGGCTGGACCCCTACATGGCGATCTACCACGAGGTGCTCTCCGCCAAGGAGATCGCGGAGCTGCAGGGGATGGCCACCCCGGGCCTGAAGAGGGCCACAGTCTTCCAGGCCTCCTCAGGTCGCAACGAGGTGGTGAAGACCAGGACCTCCAAGGTGGCCTGGTTCCCCGACACCTACAGCCCCCTAACTGTTCGACTGAATGCCCGCATCGCCGACATGACCGGGTTCAATCTGCTCGGTTCCGAAATGCTGCAGCTGATGAACTACGGGTTGGGTGGACACTACGACAAGCACTACGACTTCTTCAACCAGACAGTGAGTGATTGGTAAATCCGTAAAAAAGAACTTACCCTAACTATTCTTCTGCGAACAGAACTCCAATCTTACTCTAATGAGCGGCGATCGGATTGCCACAGTACTATTCTATGTGAGTAGTCTTCATTCTTTTTATCGATTTTATAATGAATGTATAATTCCTCTTTCAGCTGACGGATGTCGAGCAGGGCGGTGCTACTGTTTTCCCAAATATTCAGAAAGCTGTATTTCCCCAACGTGGATCAGTCATAATGTGGTACAACCTCAAAGACGACGGAGTGCCCAATACCCAAACACTCCATGCCGCCTGCCCAGTTATAGTTGGCTCCAAATGGGGTAAGTAACTTTTCTTTCAAATATCTTTTCTTCTTAAATGATTTTTTGAATTTCCAATAGTGTGCAACAAATGGATTCGAGAGCGCGAACAGCTCTTCAGAAGACCGTGCCTTAAAAAGTGACTGTGATTCTCAAGTAGTCTAAATATAAACAAGTGATATTAAACGCCCACTATGAAACTCAATAAAGTCAACCCACAATCAAACATGCTGTCAATTAAATCATTTTCCCAGCGATAAGAACAATTTAAAGTCAAGAATTCCCAGTCCTAGGCAGTATAATTAGAAGTGCTTTAACCAAAAGCCATTCATCAAACTCAACAAGTGAAATTACCTGCCACATATCGCGGTATCTAGGTTTATGAATCAGCGAACTACTTGACAACGTGCCTCAGTATTGTGAGATAACGAACCACTACCTGTAGCACCCTAGACAAAAAAGAAATGTGTATTATGCCTTTATGATCATTGAGAAAAAATTCCGTCTTGATAAAAAACAATTTTGGGTAATGTGAGTTGCCAAGCGAAACTAATTAGAGTGACTAAAAAATGTGAAATATTGTTGTTTCTGTGATAAAAAAAACCGTTCCCGCTCATTAACTATATATTAAACAATTCCAAGTATTATTGACTAAGTAGTTTCAGCACCAATAATCTGAACACAAATTTGTATTTTTTAATTCAATGTTCTGCAAGTGGATAAAAATGTCAGGATGTTTTCTGATTCTGCTGCTCCTTCCTTTTCTGGTAAAAGGAAAAAATGAGGATCATAAAAGCCATGCTTTATCGGTGGCCTCAATGGCTCCGCTTCTTGAACTCGAGGCAAAGCTGATCGACAGTCTCGAAGCCTATGCTAATAGACTCGAGGAGAAGTTGCAGGTCTCGCGAAGGTGAGGAGTTTTCTGTATTTCTTTAATGGGTCTATTAGCGAGCTTGTTTTCTAGTCACATCCCAGTTATTCGGGCGGAAAACGAAAAGGCACGACTGGATGCCATTTATTATTTGTCCATTCCCCTGAATGGATTTTCACTCCTCCGCCGGTTGCATCAGGATTGGCCTAAATGGCGAACTTTCATGAAACAGTCTGTGGGCACAGTGGAGAAGCGAAACTTTGACGGCTGGAAGAAAGATCTTCCCAAAGCGGAGGATTTGTCGGATGCCTGTGCCGGAATTGTCCGCATCCAGAAAATATATGACCTTAAAGTTGAGGACATTGTCAGGGGTGAATTAGACGGCAGGCAGTATAAGTATGTTCTCGCTCCAGAAATTTCGGAAAGTAGGAACAAGAACTTTAATGTTCAGTATTTTTTGCACTATTTTCAGTTCTACTATGAGTACTGCAGATATTTTTGCGGTTGGCCGTTATCTCGCTGAGGGGAATAGTTCGATGGAAGCTGTTCAATGGCTTCAGGAAGTTCATCACCGAATCCAAAAGGAACTTCCGAGTGCACCTGTGCATCTGGCAATTGAAGAAGTTAAAGTGCTTAAACTTCTAGCTGAAACCTACGTGAAAAATAGTTAGTTTTCATACCTCAGGCAATTCCAAACCTAATCTTTTTGTTTCAGAACACTATTCAAAGGCATTACCTTTAGTGGAACAAGGCCTGATGCTTAGAGCTCAAAGTTCAGATCTTTTGCGACTCTTTCAAAAAATAAAGGACCTCATCGAAACCCAGTCAAAACCTAGCCTTAAAACTAATAATAAGAAACTTAATAGTTCGCTCGCAGAAGCCCATAGACAGAGTTGCAGGGGCTTGCTGAGGGGCACCACCAGACTCCACTGCTCCTACAACTTCAGCACCACCCACTTCCTTCGACTGGCGCCTCTCAAAGTGGAACAGATCGGATGGGATCCGTATGTGGTGCTCTACCACAATGTGCTTTCCCCACTGGAATCCGCTCAGTTGATAGAGCTTGCCGCTTTGGATTTACGGACTAGCGGGGTCCTTCGATCCACAGGAGTTTCTGCTAATCGGGCTAGGAGTGTCAAGGCCCGCTGGGTGATGAAGGAACTGAACGAGCTGACCAGGCGAATTACCAGAAGAGTTGGTGACATGACTGGCTTAGACTTGCGCGACTCTGAAAAGTTTCAGGTGGGATAACCCTTTACTATAGGATATATTAATATAAGCCTCGTATGTTTGGTGCAGATCATAAACTACGGTATTGGGGGACACTACACCACGCACAAGGATTACTTCAACGCCTCCACCGACTTAAGCGAGAAATTAGGAGACCGTGTGGCCACAGTGTTGTTTTACGTAAGTGCACTTTTCAATTGTGTATTCCCTCTGCACTTATCATGTTATTATTCCCAGTTAACTGACGTTGAGCAGGGTGGGGCCACTGTCTTTCCCAAATCCGGATACACCATATATCCCCGAGCCGGAACAGCTCTCTTCTGGTACAATCTTCACAGGGATGGAAACGGTGATATATCGACTATGCATGCCGCCTGTCCGGTGATCGTGGGATCCAAGTGGGGTAGGCTTTCAGAGTCACTCTACCTATCGAAACAAGCTTTAATATTATGTTTTTCACAGTGATGACTGAATGGATTCGGGAGCGGAGTCAGATATTTCGCAGGCCATGCCTAAAGAACTAAAAATAAAAACCTTTGAATTCCATTAATAAAACTACTGCTGGTCCTTAAATGATCTGATTATTCAACAAACCGACACCAACAATAATATAAATAAATTTTAGTGATTCAAGTAGGCCTGGTTAAATGTCTATTAAGTTATATATATTAAATGACATTTATGGCGGCAATAAACCAGATATGGAAGTGTTTACCAGGACTCCTATTGGTACTCCTATCAGTCAACTTTTCTACACTGGCCTTTGGAAAAGGACCTGTGGAGATGAGCCACTCCTTGTCATTGGTAACAATGGTGCCACTGCTCGAGCTGGAAAAGAAGCTGATCGATAACCTTGAAAACTACACCGAGTCTGTTGAGCAGAAGCTGCTGTACATTCGCAGGTGAATCTGCTCATGAAATTATCTGCACATTCTTTACGACTTTCAATTCCAGTCAAGTAGCAGTTATGCGTGCGGAAAATGAGAAGGGAAGGCTGGACCCTACATCTTATTTATTCAATCCTTTAAATGGCTTCTCCCTGATACGCCGACTCAATCAGGATTGGATTGGTTGGAGGCAATACATGGAAAAACCCGTTGCAGTCTCCCAGATTCGGAACATGCACAGATGGATGGACGAACTGCCCACAGAAACTGACCTGTGGGATGCGTGCACCGGAATAGTGCGCATTCAGAGTACCTACAAGCTTGAAATCCAGGATTTGACTAGCGGTCGATTTAATGGAAGACAATACAAGTGAGTAAAGGGTTAATTAGCATTTAAATATCGTTAATCCGATCAATCCCTCAAGTGCCAGCATGGGTTTAGCTGACATATTTGCGATTGGCCAGCACTTGGTAGAGGAACAGAAACCATTAGAAGCTGTTCAATGGCTGCAGGAGGTTTTGACCCACCACCAGGAGGACCTTGTGTCTTTACCGGCTCACCTGACAGTCAGAGAAGTAGAGGTTCTTAAGATACTGGCTGAGATTCACCTGAAAAAAAGTTAGTTTTCCTAATATTGTTGCTTTCAAAGCTAACCGTATTCTTCTAGAAAACTATGAGAAAGCTCTTCTTCTAACGGATAAATTTCTGCATATTAAACCCCACGATGCTGCTCTTCTGCGCACGAAGAACCTAATAGAAAGTCAGCCAAATCGTGGATTCGAGGATAATGAGCAGCGGAAAGATTCGAAAGAGGGATTGAAGTTCAAGTGCGACAAAATAAAAGATAAACCCTCCAGACTACTCCACTGCTCCTACAACTCCAACACGACGCCTTTCCTTCGTTTGGCACCTCTCAAAATGGAGCAAATCGGGTTGAGTCCCTATTTGGTCCTATATCACGAAGTATTATACCCAAGGGAACTTGAAATCTTGAAGAGCAAGGCCGCTGGAAACATGAAGATTGCCAAGATCCACAATAGAAATCCCCAACAGAAAAGGAAGGGGAGGACTGCCAAGGCCTTTTGGATCAAGGAGGAGAATACTGAGCTCAACAAGAGAATTTCTAGGCGGATTCAAGATATGACTGGCTTGGACTTGGCCGAATCGGAAAAACTGCAGGTTGGCTTCGCCTCACCATTAATTCTAAAACTGAGTATAAGTACAGGGTTATCTCTTTTTCAGGTGATAAACTACGGCTTAGGTGGCCACTACCATCAGCACTTGGATCACTTTAACATTGCTTCCGGTAAATCTAAGGGAATACCCTTGCGACAAAAACTAGCTTTGGGAGATCGGATTGCCACAGTGCTCTTCTATGTAGGCGGATTACATTTATCTTATTCGTTGACTTAATTAATTCTGCACCTTTGCAGCTCACTGACGTTGAGCAAGGCGGAGCCACAGTCTTCGGACATGCGGGATATGCGGTGTATCCCCGGGCAGGAACTGCCATCTTCTGGTACAATCTGCATCGGGATGGCAGTGGCGACCCCCTCACAAGGCACGCCGCCTGTCCGGTGATTGTGGGGTCCAAGTGGGGTAAGTTCCCATCCCTTGATTAACCTGCAATTGAGTCCCTTTAACCCCGATCCCTTGACAGTGATGACCAAGTGGATACGCGAGCGGGGCCAGATATTTACCAGACCCTGCCTGCCGCCCCCCGCGGGATCCCCCTCGAAATCATAGACAAACAAATTTCCGCCATAATCACTTTGCACACTTAACGAAACCCTCGCAGCTCAGCTTAAATGCCTTTTTAAAATGCCAACACGGAAAAAATAAAGTGCTGAGTGGTTGATTGTCCCGGCAGGCGGAAGGCTTCTGCTCCACGACCAAGGTAACCCAAAGGCCACCGCAGCCGCATTTTAGCATATCCTAGGCGACCTCCTTCCCCGAATCCGATTCCCGTTCCCCATTCCTGCTGGTGGCGTCTAGTGTCTGACACCGCGTACGTGACGTGCAACTTAATGTTTCAATTAGAGGTGAAGTGGCGACCGAGCAGGGGCTATCGTTATCGCTCCACTGCACCGCGAAAAACTAGTACTCATACCTGCGTTGGGAATCTTTTCTACACATTCATAAATGAAAAATTCCCTGCCACTTTGGATTACTTTCTATTTAACAAATGGAGGTCTGCTTATAATAAATCTACCCTTACAATTAGTTGCTGAGTAAAAAAACTTTTGTTCAGTGTCACTTATTTTTGCGCATGTATTGGGCTCTGTTTGCCGAGCTGGGATACGAGTATCTCTATCAGTCTGTGCACTTATCTGCTTTTAAAAACTTTTAATAATGAACTCTCGCCCACCGCCGAGCGACGTGTTGATGTCAGACCTTTGGCCCCCCAATCCCCGAATCCTGACCCAGCTGACTCGGCAGTTTTGTTAGTCAAATCCAAGCAGCCCATTCCCAAATAAACCTTGTGTTTGGGGTTTATGCTTCTCGTGGCCACCGTTTAATTCAAGTTTCTTCCGTGAAACATAACATACAAAACATAGTCAATATCTTGATATAAATCCTATACAGCAAAATTATAGTCGGGGTGGTTCTGCCTGGCCGTGCAACACCTTTATTAAAGCGCAATGTCAATAAATAAAAAATTGCCGACATATGCGAAAAGGTCCTGCTGACTATCGAGTGGCCAAACGCAGACCCATTCAGCATGTGCGAATTCCCAATGTCCTGAGCAGGAAATCAAGGATGATAAAGCCCGATCCCCGAAGCGAGCGCAAGACAGTCGCTTACATCCTTGGAGTTGTACCCAAAAGTGAATTTCGATTTGATTGTGTGCACTTTATGGCGAGTCCTGAGCCGGAGCAACCTCTACTCTTCCACAGAGATGATTACATATGCGCAGACCAATAATTTTGCCCACAGCAAAGGAGGAAAAAACGTATCTAACAAGGTTAAGAAATGTTCCGAGGCAGAGAGCATTGATTGTATAAATCTAGTAAAATGTTTTATATGCGCACCGAAGATGAATGGGGGAAAAGGGTTGGCCGCCCACATTTTGTGGTCAATGAAGGAAATATGATTTGGATTTTGTTACTTTGATTACACACATTACATGCGAGAAATGAAAAAGTGGCGGCACAGCAGCCCAGACAGACCGAAGGGGTCAAACCGACTGTGTGTGTGTGTGCGAGTGTGTGTCTGTGTGTGTGCAACGTGTGTTAAATTTCAAGTTGCGGTCTGCCGTCGTAAAGCATTTGATGGGTTCCCCAGCCCCTCGCAGGAAATTGGGTTTTCTAGCATCTGGCCGCCGCCCGCCAAAAAAATAACGTGAACGAAAGGAATTCGTGTCGCTGCCTTTCTCAGGGTCAGCTCGGTTGAATCGATAAACTGCGTCGGGCAGGTTTAAATTTAAATCTAGATATGCCACCGATCGGTCCATCAATCGATGGACCCGCTTTTCAACACCTTCGTCGACAAGGTGAGTTGGCTATTTATACCTGGGCAAGTCACAGCGAACAGAGACATTGCCCCCGCTACTCACTGTGAAAAATAATTTGTAATCATTCTGATAACAATGGGTTTCTTAGAAAATTGTACACTATAAAAACTTATGGTTGCTTGATATGCAATTAAACAAAATTAAATTTGTTCAGTGCTTAAACAATGTATTGCTTTAGTTTAGTGGGTTTAGTTTTCTTAACAGGGCAAATCAATCGAATCGTTCGATCGGAGGTGGTGACAGGTGCCAAGGCAGTGCACCGGCACCAGCATCGATCGACTCTGTACTCGGCGGTACTCGATACTCGACGGACTCATTCGGCACGTCGAACGCCAGAATGCCAGAATGCCGGGCACCGGGCACCGGGCATAAATTGATTAAATGCCAGTGGACGGGCGACGGCTCACAATCAATTACGGCAGGACGAGTTTGACATGGGGAGTGATTGCATAATCTGGACAGTTGCATACAAATCGCAATCATCCTGTGACATCCAGTCGGCCAGTGGAAATCAATGCCAAAGTTGATTTACGTGGGCGGACGTCAATTGTCCTCCGCTGGAGCGAATCAGTGCCGAAACCCCCGACTTTGTCCGTATCGAAATGATTTGGCCAGGGCACACATAGCACAGCACATGGAGCCGGGCCAATGACAAATGCAGCTAAACGAATTATGTCTAATGGCATTTCAGGTTGAAATGCGATTAAAATGCAATTTGAAATGCAAAACATTTCCCTCTCCCTGCGAATTGGCTGCACTTTAAGAGTTTTCCTGTCTGCTGGCGGCTGGCCAAAAGTTCTGTTTCTGTTTTTCGGAGGCAGCCGCAAACTCTGTTCCCTGCTTTGTGTTTATGCTGTATTTGGTGTTTTTTGGTGTTCTTTGGTGTTCTTTTGCTGTTTCTGGTGTTGGTGGTCATGTCTGGGGTGCTCCTCCCTTTGGCACCTGGCTGACCATTAAGGGGCTGCGATAGATTGACTTCAAATGTTTCAGAAAGTCTTAAATCGAGCAGCCAAAATTTATGTGGCCCCATTGGACAATTAAAACTCGATTGCGCCTCGAACAATGAAGCCAACCAGCCGGCCAGGCAGTCAGTCAGTCAGGGAAATCTATTTTCTGCCTGCCAAGAAATTTCCCGCAGCAAGTCTCCCGTTTCTTGGTCTCTTGGTCTCTTGGTCTCGGTTCTGGGTACCTTTTGTCACCTCAGACGACTCGACTTCTACTTTTTCCCCGACGACAACGAAGCATAATTTATGCGTTCGCATTGGCCGGAGCCTGGCGACTTCACCGGGAATACAAATGGGAATGTTATGGTGAGGTAATGGAGTTGGTGTTGGATGCAAAACCTGGCCAGCGGACACATTTCTAGACAAGCGAACATGACAGCGGCTATGTCGTCTGGGTCTCCTTTTTGTTCTGCGGTGGAATTTCACGTGGAAAAGAGCAGCCAACAAGCGCAAAAGTTATTTTAATTAAAGCAGCATCCGCAGATGGAACAATAATGAAGGAAAGCCGAATACCAAAGCCCGTCTTGGCAGAAATTAGAACATTAGTCCAATTTTATCTTCAACAGCGAACAATATTAGGCTAAGTAAAATTAAGAAAAGCCCTCGAATTATTTATTTTCCGCTGAATATTGTGAAAGCTCTAAGAGTTTTGAGATACCCATTCAGATATAGAGTATGAAATCGAAAGAGTTGAGACGCCCGACTATGAACACCCCGTTCTTCGCCGGCAAATAATAAAAATGAGTAGCGATCGGGGGTCGGGAAAGTCTCTGCTCGATTTACGCTCTGCATTTGTCATGATCTGTTTATTTTGATATATGACCACGTGATTAATTAGCCAGATCGCGAAGTTTGTGGCTTCGTGTCGGGGCCTGTGATTTATTTCACTCGATTTGCACTTTGTTAGCGAACCTCTGCGCGAAATTAATTTAAATTCATTTGCCCAACTGTCAAGAAAATGCCAACGTAATGGCACTCGTTTCCCAGCCCCGTTCGGGCGACATATTGATTACGATTTTTATGGACCCATCACCTGCCATCCGCCCAGAAGTAATTTGCATATCTATAGACTCCCCCAAATAGGTAAAACCGGGCGAAATCAAATCAAGGCAAGCGCTCACCCGCAGATGCGACACCTTCGCAAGTATCTTTGTATCCGTATCTGCGTCTGTTTTCGGTCCTTGTATCTGAGTCCCTGGCGCAACAGCTGCACACACCTACACACAATTTGATTTTATGTTTGCACACGCAGCAACAATTTCATTGTTTGCAAAATAATTGCAAGCCTTCGCAGCAGCTGTGCCCGCAAATCCGTCCACCTTCCTCCCTTAGTCCCAAAAAAAAAAAAAAAATAGAATGTGGGTTTCACTGCGAGCGAAAAAAGGCAAATTCTGGCAGGGATTTTCACTGGCAAATTGCTGGCAAAAGCAGTACCAAACAATTAGCACGGAAACAATGGATGAGCCAATATTTTGGTTTGGTTGATGGCCCTAAAATGGATTATTGGGCAGTGGGCATAAATTCAGAAGTTGATTCCATCTATCCCTCGTCCTGCCCCGCCCGGAACATCCTCCATGGAGGAGCCAGCCACTCGATGCCGCAGCTTTCACCAACCGGAAGTCCACTCCATTTAATGCACGAATTTCGCGCCATTCCCGCTGGTCAGCTTTGTGTGAACTCGGGCTGCATGTCGACGTACTCTATATTTCGAGGGTGAGTTGAATTTCGTCCCATTTGGTTTTAAAATCTAGTTTTTTTTTAGAGTGGTATTATATACAAATTTGTAGTTAATGACACGAAAGTCAATTTCCTGTTTGTAAGTGTACAGTAAAGTTCTTATTTTTTTGATAAAAACAGTATTTCCAAAAAAAAATTAAAAAATGGTCCAAATATGGAATTTCATACCTTGTTGAGCTTGTATTTACTCCAGGAATCAATTGGCATTAAAATCTAGAAAATTTTATTTTTGACCAAATTTAGCAAAAAAGGATGATGTTACCCCTTACCAAAAATGAGAAAATTGGACAAAAATAAATTTTTTTAAATGTGCCAAAAAGTGCTATGAATCGTTAACTGACGTGATTAAAATCGTGGGAATTTGGGTCTGGGTTACATTTTGACCAAGTTAGAACGGCAAATCTCTGATAGTCAGTTATTAACCCACTGAAATTTCAAAAACAATTGGTATCCCTTGGTCCCTACACCAGAAGCTTTATTTTTTGGTGTGCTTGTTTAAGAGTGGCCGCCGGAAAGGCGAGGGTCACAAAAAGGTACACCGCAAAGCGAAAGCAAAAAATATTTGGCACTGAAAACGCTTCCGCTTTTTGGGGCTTCCAACTGCAAACAGAAAA